TCATTATCAAGTGACCCGTACAGATAAGCTGTAACCACATCCATTAGATGTATTTCAAGCCTTTCACGTAAGACTAAACTGATGAGATATCGAAATGTTATGGCATCCATAACTGGTGAATATGTTTCTTCATAATCGACTCCAGGTCGTTGTGAGAATCCTTGTGCAACAAGGCGAGCCTTGTATCTTTCAACTTCATTTTTATCATTCCTTTTTCGCACAAAAACCCATTTATGACCAACTGGCTTTATACCAGCAGGTGTTTGGACTACTGGTCCAAAGACCTCTCTTTTAGCAAGTGACTTCAATTCCGATTGAATTGACTCTTGCCATTTTGGCCAATCAGATCTTTGTCGACATTCTTCGATAGATCGGGGTTCAAGATTCTCACTATCTTGTATAATGTTAAGTGCAACATTATATGCAAAAATATTATCCACCACTATTTCAGATCGATTTAAGTTAATCCCATCACAAGTAGAACCTATTAAAAGTTCCTCACTCACTTGAGTCTCGGGTTCATTGATTTCTTCAGGAATCTCAGAACTAATCAGATCTTGGGTCTCTTCAGGAGATCCCTTCATAATATTATTTTTATCATTTGTCGATTTTATTTTTCTAGGATTTCGATCCTTAGAACCCAAAGGTCTACCATGCTTCAGGCGTGCTTTAGGTTCACTAGCTCTCATGCTAGTAGATGGTCCTGCTGGGACATCAATTCGGATAGGCACATTCTCTGCAGGGATATGCGACTTAGTTATCCTTTTCAAATCAGTAAATGCGTCTGGCATTTGATTTGCTATATTCTGTAAATGGATGATCTTCTGTACCTCCTGATTACATATAGGGGTACTTGGATCAAAGTGAGATAATGATGAAACTTTCCACACAATTTCTCTTTTGATTTCCTTTTTCTCTCCCCCTAATTGTGGGAAAATTGCTTCATCAAATCGACAATCTGCAAATCGAGCAGTAAATAAATCTCCCGTCAATGGTTCAAGATAGCGAATAATAGAGGGTGATTCAAACCCAATATATATTCCTAACCTTCTTTGGGGGCCTATCTTACTGCGTTGTGGTGGTTCTACTGGCACATATGCAGCACATCCAAAAATTCGTAGATGGACAATATTTGGTTCATGACCAAAAACTAATTGTGACGGAGAATATTTATTATAATGTGTTGGTCTGAGACGGATAAGTGATGGTGCGTGCAAGATAGCATGGCCCCAAACAGTAGTGGGCAATTTTATTTTCATAAGTAGTGGTCTTGCTATCAATTGCAGTTGTTTAATAAATGACTCTGCAAGGCCATTTTGAGTATGAATAAAGCTATAGGATGTTCAACTTTTATCCCAACTGATAGACAGTAATTATCAAAAGCTTGAGATGAGAATTCTCCAGCATTATCAAGACGAATAGCCTTTATAGGATAATATGGGAATTGTGCCCTTAATCGAATTACTTGGGCTAATAACTTTGCAAACGCCAGGTTGCGAGATGATAGTGGCACACATGAGACCATCTTGAAGATGCATCTATTAGGACCATAAAATATCTAAACAACCCTCTTGGTGGGTGAATAGGTCCACATATATCCCCATGTATACGTTCTAAAAAGGCAAGGGAATCAATGCCAACCTTCATTGGTGATGGTCTAGTGATCATTTTTCCTTGATAACAAGCATCACAAGAAAATTCATCATTTGTAAGAATCTTCAGGTTCTTTAATGGATGCCCACTCGAATTTTCAGTAATTCGTCTCATCATTATTGATTCAGGATGGCCCAAACGGCCATGCCAAAGCACAAAAGTATTTGAATTAGTAAACTTCTGGTTTACGATAGAGTGTGATTCAACTGTACTAATCTTTGAATAGTATAAGCCAGAAGATAAAGTTGATAACTTTTCTACAATACATTTCTGGCCAGAAATATTCTTTGTAATCCAAAGATATTCCATGTTCATTTCATCTATTATCTCAACATGATACCCACTTTGGCGGATATCTATAAAACTCAACAAGTTTCTTTGGGACTTGGAGGAGAACAACACATTGTCGATAATAAGTTTTGTGACCTTAGACAGAAATACAGTAGCTCTTCCGGAGCCTTCAATCAAACTTATATTACCAGAAATTATAAAAATATTTATTTTTTCCTTATGCAAATAAGAAAAGTATTTCTGATCCTTGAATATGGCATGCGTTGTTCCACTATCAATTATACAAATATCTTCATGATTGGTCTTTGATCCAAACATAATTTGAGGATTATCCATATTCTTCAAAATGACATAAACAAAATAAATATGATAGTAAACATCATTTTCAAAGTGTAACTTTTATTTATGTAAAATAATTACATAACCATACTATCTGCTGCAAATAATAAAAATTAAAATATTTACATTTCNTTTCTCCTTCTGGGAGTGCAAAGTAATCAGCTACATCCAAATGCATGAAGTCTAAATTATCTTCAGAAATAAAATTTGCTTCAGCATTTTTCTCTGTCTTTTTCAGGGAGGCTTGATACAGCTCAACCAGGTGCTTTGGCGTACGACATGTACATGACCAGTGCCCTTTTCCTCCACATCTATAACATGTATTTTCTGGCTTTGCTGCTTGCATCGCTTCATGCTTTTGTTCCTTCCTTTTCCACTGCTGGTGGTAAAGAGGGTTCTTTGGTGCATTGTTATTACCACGATTAGAGTTTCCTCCCCGACCACGACTTGGGCCACGTTCTCTTCCACGCTTAGCTTGGTGGAAGTTTGTCTCATTCACTTCAGGGAATGGACAAGAACCATTAGGTCGACTTTCATGGTTTTTCATTAATAGCCTATTATGTTGCTCGGCTACAAGAAGATGTGAGATAAGTTTAGAATACTTTTTGAATTTTATCTCTCGATATTGCTGTTGCAGGAGCATATTCGAGGCATGAAAAGTGGTGAAAGTTTTCTCCAACATATCATGATCGGTAATATTATCACCACATAGTTTCAATTGGGAAATAATTCTGAACATAGCAGAATTATACTCGCTGATAGATTTAAAATCTTGTAGCCTTAGATGAGTCCAATCATAACGTGCATGTGGAAGAATGACTATCTTCAGGTGGTCATATCTATCTTTCAAATTATTCCATAGTATGACTAGATCTTTAACAGTAAGATATTCCATTTCCAAGCCCTCATCAAGGTGATGGCGTAGGAATATCATTGCTTTGGCACGGTCTTGGTTTGATGCCTGATTTTTATCTTTGATGGTGTCTGCCAGACCCATCGCATCAAGATGAATTTCGGCATCAAGCACCCAAGACATGTAGCTTTTGCCCGATATATCCAGGGCTACAAACTCAAGTTTAGAAAGATTTGACATTATTTATAAAAAGAAAGTTCGTACCTCTGATACTTTCAAAGTATTTTCTCGAGATGGCAGATTCTCGTGTTGATAACGTGTTATGAAATAAAGACAGTAAAGTAAAGACAAGTATAGAGAGAAACTGATATATTATTCAAACTTCAAACTTATGTACATAATGAACTGAATTCTCCTCTATTTATAGAAGAAAGGAAGCTACTGTGTAAGCTGCTACTGCAAGCTGCTGTGTAAGCTGCTTGTAAGCTGCTACTGCAAGCTGCTTATAAGCTACTACTCTAGGCTATTGTGCCAGATATAGATAATCTTCTACCATGGGTAATATTTATCCATAACGGAGTACCGAAAGGATAAGCTTATTCAAGAGGCTTATTTCCAATAGAGTACTAAATAGATAAAAATATTTACGGCGGAGTCTCATATGGATAAGCTTCTTCAGGAAGCTTATTTACGATGGAGTACTAAATTAACATCCATAATATAATATATTTATAACACTCCAACACTTTTATTCTGAAACTATAGTGACGTGTTCTGAAATTTAAGTGACATGCACCATTACCATTTAACACCCAAGACATGTGATGTGACCTGATTGGTTGTGATATTACCAGCGGTTCCCAAGGCACTAATTACTCTGTAACTCCGTGATGACGGTTTCATGATAATGTTTCTTCATTCTATAAATATGAAACCTTTTCTTTTCTTCTGCATTCTTCAATTTGTCCAAGTACCGTTCCTTTGCAAGTTTGCTATTATTTCCTTCCTTTATAATTTCTTTTCATTCTATCTTTCTCTTCAAAGCTATGGATTCCAAATATATCAATCTTCCACCAATTGAAACCATTATTTTATAAAATTTCTAAACCGCCTTAAGGCGTACAATCATTGTTGATGAACTATAGGGAAACCTTCTTTGTTATTGAGAAGATAAGGAAAGAAGCCCTAAAAACTACTTCTAAAAGAGGCAGCCAAGATTCCTCCATTATAACGCCTTCTTCAAAGAGAAAAAAAGGCAACAAACAAGAGTTTTCTACTAAACCCACCATTTCCAAGATTTTTCCCAAACAACTTAACTTTAAAGCGAACAACTCTCTATGGAATAAGGCGATGGGGAAAATCAAAAATCGGAATTCCCCTGTGGACACTTACTCTTATCCAGTTGGAACATCTTCTTACTATCCGAAAGGACTGCTACTAGAGATATGACCTAAAATTAACCCAGCTCACGAGAACAAACGAATTACTAGCCACCGAGAAGGTTTCTCGTTCAAATATATGTATCCATTTACTCTAGGGTTTAAACCTACAATTGATCCTGCAATTGAGGCATTTTACAGACATTTCGATGCTTGCTTGGCTAAAATAAATCTGAATATTTCAAGGCATGTGGATTGCCTTATTTTTTTATCAAATCGGCATCGGTGTACTTCACTCTTCATCGCCTTCTTTATCTTTACTCTCCCAAGATTTGTCGGGAAGGATTGTTCACTCTTGCTAACCGTGGTAAGCGAGTCCTTGTTGAGCTAGAGAGTAATCATGATCGGGGGTAGTATGAGAGGTTCATGGTCGTACCAACTCGAGATCTTGTGAAACTCAATGATCTTCCATTTTCGGAGAAGTGGAACTTCAAATATAAGTTTTCTTTTCAACTCCGAAATCATCTTTCTCTTGTCCTGGCCATAACGTCTTTCCCTTGTACTACATCTGCTATGGAAATAATCGAAGAGTTCTCCAACCTTGCTGAATCGATGAAGAAGATACTATCTTATTCTTTTATGGAATTACGGACTTGGAAATATTTTTTTGATGTGTCCGGTCGCAAAGATAAAGTCATGGTATGTTTCAGAAATAAATATCTTAATTTTTCTCTGCCTTCTTCTTATTCTTCTTCTACCGATATAGGTCTTTTGCGAAGGAAGCCTCAACCTAAGACTTTGATTGAGAAACTAGAGGTTGATTAAGCCCAAGATTGGATTCTAAAATTAGCCACTTTGAAGCAAATAAATAAAAGTTTGTTAAGTTGTGTTTCAAAGGGTGCTCTTGTCAAGCCTACGAGAAAGAAGCGAAGATCCGATAAGAAAAAGGTAGATCAGTCTGGGGATGACCAGGGCAATCCTTGAGTTAATCCCCAAACTACTCAATTCTGCCTTCAAGATAAACTAGATAATGTTCCCATCATCGTGGAGGATGATGAGATGAATATTTTGGCTGAGCATGTCGGTGATGCAGTCCCCATTCTATTCTCCGGATGTGTTCCTTTCCCTTTTTCTAAATGCTTTCTATGGTTTTCATGTTACTGACAAAAAATGTTACAGTGTAATCTAATTAGTACCGAGTTGTTGAAGAGGATTACCATCTATAAGGAGGAAATTGAGGAATTGAAGGTGGCCAACAGTGATTGGAAATCCCAATATGAATGAATTCGTACTGAGAAAGAGGCCTTGGAGCACCAGGCTAAACTGTTTCCGAGGAGTTAGAGAAGTTCAAGGCAGAAAGAAGCAGCAGGAGTCTTCCATCATTGATCAACATTCCAAGGCAACTGAAGAGATACGTAGTCTCAAGGAATTGCTTGCTCAAAAGGAAGCACATTCGTGTAAGATGGTCATGGACTTCACCCAAGCCACGGAGTATCTAGATAGATTGGAAGATAAAGCAAGATCTTTGAAGTGTCTCTTAAATCTTTGAATGCTGCTCTTGATGCTCTGCGTCTGAGAAGATGATGTTTTGGGGAAAAGGATTTAGATCCCTTTAAAATTACAAAGATCTCGAGCTGTAGTCAAAGATAAACCTGAATTAGATGTTCTTGGAGATCCGATTGGAGACATTGGAAGCTTCTCATGTCGGATCCCCGATTAGGAGGGGATATTGAGAAATATAGACAAGCAGTGGAGACAGTACCAGCAGGTCACGAATTCTTCTACTCCAAAAGAAGACTCCTTGGAAGAAGAGACGCTTCAAGACCAACTGGATGAGGTTGCTAAAGAAGAGCACACTAAGTCACATCCTACATCTTCAAATACTTAAGTTGATTCTCTCCAAACTGGTCCATCTTTATCGGTTCCTCTTGACCTTTAAATGTTATTTCTTTTCTTATTTCATTGTGCTTGCTTCTCTAGGCTTTAATGCCTTTAAGTATCAATAAAAAATTCAATCTTTCTTTCCGTACTTGAATATTTCATACTTTAGAAATATTTCATTTAATTTTCGGCACTTTTGAGATCATCCAAGTGCTTTTAGTTTCGTAAACATTAAGCTTCTCGTTCCCAAAACTAAGATTTGTAGTTGTAACTTTGTTATGTTTTTCTCGAACGATTAACTTGAGCTAAAATCTTAAGTATCCCGCTTAAATATAAAGAGGACTCTTTTCGTTTTATCAATACTATGAATAGATCCTCTTTACTAAGGCATAAAATTGAATCAACAGATGCGGAGAGACATATGGTCTTGTCACAACCCAAAATATCTCACCAAAAGTCGTGAGGGCACCTAACCTCCAAGATTAGATAAGTCGATTACACAATAATATTTCAAACAACAAAACAAAATATAATATATCTGAAATGACATAAATAGTGGAATAAAACTCCAACAATAGCCAATACAGTGATACATAATACTAAATTTCCAAAACCATGTAGCACAGAGTCATGATCTAGAAAACCAAATGCAAGAAGATGTCTTGATAGTATAATATTGTTGAATGTATAATAAAAACAATATGAAAATAAGGGAAGGGGCCTCCAGGGGTCTGCAGCGATCATGAAACACTACCTTGAATCCTCGCTAACAGTAAATACTACTCGCTCCTGAGATCTGCTACTGCCAATGCTTGGATCTACATAAAAATATGCAGAAGTGTATTATGAGTATGGGATAACAAGTACTCTTTAAGTATCAAGACTAACATTGGTGAAGTAATGACGAGGTTTAAATCACGTGATATACTCACTAATTAATGAATCTGGGCAATATATATATAATAGCTTACAACCAGAATATAACAAGGTGCAATTTCATCAATTATCAAATATCGGAGCTACCACTCAGCATAGATAAATCAATCTTGACAGTCAAATCATCAACGAATAACGTAGGCATATAGTAGCATCTTAGAATTCAACATAAAACATGTAAAACGCATAATAAGGCATAAAGAATTCACTTGCAAAATCAAAGCTTCCACTTTTATACTCCCCAACTCACCATCATCGGATTCTATATCAGAATCACCTAACATCAGTCAATTACCATAAACCCGTGTGTAAGATATTAAGAGAGAGACATGAGAGGGCGATCCTAGGGGAATGGATCCAAATACACACACTGCACGGCAAAGACCCCGTGCTATAACAATAACAATATCATCATAACTGCACGACAAATACCCCACATCACACAATAATAATATTGTAATAATCTGCATGGCAAAAATCTCATGCGATAGTAGTAGTTAGACAATTAAGGTCGAATTCCAAGGGTTATTCCATCACACAAGATTAGATAAGATAAGCCCAAATCAACCTTCTAAAATGGCTATTCCCTTAGAAATCACCTCCAACCGGCTCGAATCTAGTAAAAAAAAAAACTCAATAATGTCAAACAAAGTTATAGAAAATAATTTTAAACAATAAAGCTTTAATCTTTTTTCAATTTCCAAGAAGTAAAAAAAGTCAACCCGGGGCCACATGGTCAAAACCCGAGTCACGGGGTAGATTCCGACTATCTGTAACCCCACGAGTCCAAATATATGTTTAGATTCCAAAACCAAGTCCAAATCATAGCTCAAAACCCAATTTTTACTCTCTTAAGTTGTAGGAAAGCCCCCTAATTTCCCTCAGAATTTCAAATTTTGGGTGTTAATAATCCATGTAGATTATTGAAATTATAACAAAAATGAGCAGAAATCACTTATCTCAAAGCCTTATATGAAAATCTCCAAGCCAAAATCGTCTTTCGCCAAGTCTGGGGTTCAAATATGAGAGAATGAGCTAAAATTCTGAAATACAGCTTAATACTCAGTTGCAGATGTTGCATTTGTGATCAGGGGTTTGCAAATGTGACCTTCGCAGAAGCGACACTAAGCATGCAAATTTGAACTGAACCCCTAAGAAGCAGATCATATGCAACCAACCCTCGCAAAAGCGATAGCCGCAAATGCGACAACAGTGTGAAGCTAGCCTCCCCATTCCCATATCGCAAATGTAAGCTAAAGTCCGCAAATGCATACCTCGCATTTCAAAGCAGAACATCACAAATGCAATGATTGTGGCACCAAAAACCTCCCAACTTCCAAAGTCAACCTAAAACCAATCTAAAGCTCACTTGAGCCCCTCGGGACCCACTCCAAATATCCACACAAGCATATAAACCTCATATGAACTCGTTTGTAAGCTAAAAATATCAAAATAACATCCACAACCAAGAATCGAGCACCAAAACTTATGTGCATTCCTTCAAGCTCAAGAACTTCATAAACTCCCAACCAAGTGTCTGATTCATGCCTAACCAAATCGAAATGCAACCAACTTTTGCACACAAATCCAAATCAACAAGACGAACCTACTCCAAGTCCCGGAACACCAATCGGAACCGACAACAATAAAGTCAACTTTCGGTCAAACCTATGAACTCCCCAAACCTTTAAATTTTCAACTTTTGGGAATTAAGCTTAAAATCTTCTAGGGACCTAGAAATCCAAATTCAAACACACGCCTAAGTCCAAAATTACCATATGGACCTATAAGAACTATCAAATCACTAGTTTGAATATGTCTACTCAAAAGTCAAACATTGGTCAACTCTTACAATTTTAACTTCTAACTGTGGAACTAAGTGTTCCAATTTATTGCCAAAACTCCCCAGAATCAAGCCAACCATCCTCGCAAAACATACGAGAAACGTCAAATAAGGAAACGCGGCTCAAGTATACAAAACGACTGGTCGGGTCACTACATTCTACCTTTTTTAAACAAATATTTGTTCTAGAACGGGTTTAGAATAATACCTTAAATGCCAAAATGGTGAGGCTATATGCTCCACATATCATGCTCGGTCTCCCTAGTCGCTTCATCGATCGGTTGACATCTCTACTAAGCCTTCACTAATGCGATCTCTTTAGACCTGAGCTTCCGAACCAGCCTATCTAAAATGGCTACTGGCTCTTCCTCGTTAGCCACATTCTCATCTAATTGCATTGTGATGAACTCCAAACATGAGACCTATCTTCATGATACTTCTGAAGCGTAGAAAGCTCAAACACTATATAAACTCCCGTAAGACTGGGAGGCAAAGCGAGTCTATAAGCAACCTCGCCAACTCTCTTCAACACCTCAAATGGGCCAATAAACCTCGGGCTCAACTTGCCCTTCTTTCCAAACCTCATCACTCCTTTCATTGGTGAAACTATAAGAAGAACTTTCTCACCTTCCATGAAAGCCACATCACGAACCTGCCTATTAGCTTAACTCTTCTACATGGACTGAGATATGCGAAGCCTCTCCTGAATCAAATTCACCTTCTCCAAAGCATCACGGACCAAGTATGTGCCCAATAATATAGCCTCATCGGACTCGAACCAACCAACTGGAAAACGATATTGCCTTCCATATAAGGCCTCATATGGAGCCATCTAGATACTAGACTGGTAGCTGTTGTTCTAGACAAACTCTACTAGTGGTAGAAACTGATCGCACTAGCCTCCAAAATAAATAACACATGTCCTCAACATATCCTTAAGGATCTGAATGATCCTCTCGGACTGCCCATCCATCGGACAGTGCAATGCAATCCTCAACTCCACCTGCGTGCCAAACTCACACTGAACAACTCTCCAAAAATGCAAGGTAAATTGGGTGTCGTGGTCTGAGATGATAGAGACAGGTACACCATGCAAGCAAACAACCTCTCTAATATAGATCTGAACCAACCTCTTTGAAGTGTAGGAAGTTATAACCGGAAGAAATGCATTGACTTGGTCAACCAATCCAAGATGACCCAAATAGAATCAAACTTCCTCAAAGTCTATGGAAGCCCTACCACAAAGTTCGTAGTAATGCACTCCTACTTCCACTCTAGTATATCAATCTTCTAAAGTATATCACCTAGTTTCTGATGCTCATACTTGACCTGTTGACAATTCAAACACTTAGAAACATGCCCAACAATGTCCTTCTTTATCCTCCTCCACCAATAATGCCGCTTCAAGTCACGATACATCTTCATAGCACCTGGGTGAATAGAATACCACCAGTTATAGGCCTTCTCAAGAATCAACTCTCTCAAGCCATCGACAGTTAGAACAAAAACCCGACCTTGAAGTCACAATACACATCATCACCAACAGTGACCTCCATAGCACCACTACGCTGCATTGTGTGCCTGAGGAAAAGAAAATGGGGATCATCATACTGGCGAGCCTTAATGTGATCAAATAAGGACGACTATGAAACAACACAAGCAAGGACTCTACTCGGCTCGAAACTATCCAATCTCAACAATCTATTGGCCAATGCCTGAACATCCATAGCTAAAGGCCTCTCGACAGCTGGAATAAATTCCACACTCCCCATATTTTTCTACTCAAGGAGTCTGCTACCATATTAGCCTTCCCGAATGATATAGAATAGTGATATCATGATCCTTCAAAAACTCTAACTATCTCCGCTGCCTCAAATTCAAATCCTTTTGCTTAAATAAGTGCTAAAGACTTTGTTGATCAGTGTGAACCTCACAAGACAAGCCATATAAGTAATGCCTTTAAATCATGAGCGCATGAACAATAGCTGCTAAATCAAAATCATGTACCATATAGTTCTTCTTATGAGGCTTCAACTGGTACAATGCATAGGTAATCACTCTACCGGACTGCATCAAAACACACTCAAGACCAACATGCGAAGCGCCATAATAGACCATATACAACCTTGATCTTGAGAGCAATGCCAAAACAGAAGATGTAGTCAAAGAAGTCTTGAGTTTTTGAAAGCTCTCCTCACACTCAACGGACCATCTGAGCAGAGTGCCCTTCTGAGTCAACTTGGTCAATGGAGCTGCAATAGATGACAAGCCCTCCATGAAGTGTCGATAATAACCCACCAAACCTAGAAAGCTCATGATCTCTGTGGTTGTAGAAGGTCTAGGCCAACATTGAACCGCCTCAATCTTCTTTGGATCCACCTCGATCCCATCATTAGTCATCACGTAGCCCAAAAATGCTACTAAATCCAACCAGAACTCATAGATGGAGAACTTAGCATATAACTTCTTCTCCCTCAGAATCTAAAACACCGTCCTCAAATGTTGTTGGTGCTTCTCCCTACTATAGGAATATACCAAGGTATCATCAACGAACAAAATGACAAAATAATCCAATAAAGTTGGAACACATGTTCATCAAATGCATGAAGGTTGTTGGGCATTAGTCAAACCAAAAGACATCACCAATAACTCATAATGCCCATAACGGGTCCTGAAGGTCGTCTTAGGAATGTTTGAAGCTCTGATTTTTAACTGATGATACCCCGATCTCAAGTCAATCTTTGAGCACACCCTAACTCCCTGAAGCTGATCAAATAAATCATCAATGTGCGGCAGTGGATACTTGTTCTTGATGGTAACCTTGGTCAATTGCCTATAGTCAATGCACTTCCTCATGGAACCATCCTTATTATTTACATTAATATCGGCGCACCCCAAGGTAAAATACTCGGCCTGATGAAAACATTATCCAACAATTCCTGCAATTGTTCCTTCAAATCCTTCAACTTAGCTGGAGCCATACGATACGGTGTAATAGATATGGGCTGAGTGTCCGGTGCCAAATCAAGACCAAAATCAATGTCCCTATCCGGTAGCATACTCGGTAGGTCTGCTGGGAATACATCTGGAAACTTTTTCACTATGCGGTATGAGTACCAACACTGACATCCCTAACAACGGCTACGTACGCCATACATACCTTCTCAACCATCCGTTGAGCCTTCAAAAGTGTGATCACCCTACTAGGAGCATGACCAAGTGAACCCCTCCATTCCAACCTTGGTCACTCCGGCATAGGCGATGTCACGGTCTTAGTGTGGCAATTAAGAATAGCATGGTACGGAGATAGTCAATCCATACCCAAAATCACCTTGAAATAAACCATATCAAGTAGTAGGGGATCAACTCTAGTCTTATAAGCCCCAATAGTAACCGCACATGAACGATAGGTGCGATCGACCATATAGAATCCTTAACAGGCATAGACACATTAGCAAGACTGAAATAATATATGTAATGAATGATTCTACTGCCTCAGTCCTACCAGGAAAATCATAACAATGAGCCTGGCCTCCCCCTCTAGGACGACCTCTACCCGTATGTCCCCTGCCTCTAACTAGCTGTCCGGGTGGTGTAGCATCTGTCGCGGGATTCATAGCTTGGGTACCCTACTGAGGTACACTCATCCGAAGCCTGGGACAACCTATCCTCATGCGTCTCACATCGCCACACTCAAAACAAGCTCTCTGCAAATATGGCTAGTAGGACTTAGTCTGCCCTGGATGATGAGAATAATCACTGTAAGAACCATGTGCGGCAGGTGCACTGAAGGATTACTGCCCAGTACGAGTGCTCTAAAATCCATGGTTAGCTGGAGCACCATGTGAAACATGAAGTGCTGACTGTATCCGTTGAATGACATAGCTCCTACCATGACGACCCTTGACCCTAGAGTAGGCACCGCTAAATCCTCCAAAAACACTAGGCTTCTTGGCCTCCCTGTCCTCCCTCCCCTACCTCAATATACGCTCCAGTCTCCTAGTAATCTCCAAAGCCTAATGACAGGTAGTCTCAGTCTCCATCTCTTATGTTATCCCGAGCCTAAGGTTATAGGTGAATCCCTCAACAAATCTACGAACCCTCTCATTTTTTGTAGAAACCAAAAGATCTACAAATCGTGATAACTCTACAAAACTCATATCATACTAGGTCACGGTCATACCCTCCTAGCGTAAATTCTCAAACTCACCGTGCAACTTTTTCTTGCAAGTCAGTGTATCGGTGGGCATAATCTTAAAAACTGAATTTCGAATAATTTAGTATTTTAGTATCGGTTTATTCGGTATTTTGGGTATAGATTTTTTGGTTATTCGGTATTTGGTTACTATCCTCGGTATTAAGGTTTCGATATTTCGGTATGCCGAAATACCAAAATACTGAAGTATTAGCCTGTTACATTGCTTACGAAACCTTTGCTCAATGTCGTTTACTATAGTCTTCTTTGAATGAACCTCACAAACTTAATACCTCTTGTGATAGTCCTTACAAGAGTTGAGATCCTTCCCATAACCTTGAACCTGACAAAATGGATGGGAACTCACACCTCCTGCTCTCATTCTCTTGGCTGGAACAATGGACTCAACAGAAGAGATGTTAGGCATAATCTTGGGAGATTTGAAAGCATTTGCATCTATATGATCAAGAAATCTTTCACACTTCTGATCGATCAGTTATGAATCTCTAGAGTTTGATTCCATAACTGAACTTGATAACTTAACTATACTTAGACTTATATTCCCCAGAATATGCACTAGGAGTCTAGCACTAGCTGCCACTGGGTATCATACCAAGTGAAGCATTCGGATCAGACTCGTTCAACTTGAGTCTCACCACTGCTTTGTTCATAAGGACTTGGTATGATACCGAAACTGTACCGAAAAAATACCGAACAAAATAAAAAAATACTGAATTGTACCGAACTACTTTGGTATGATATTTGGTTTGCAAAATTGATATACCGAAGTACCGAACCATAGTTATTAAATACCGTAGCGGAGTATCGAACGCCCACCCCTAAGTTAGTGGGATACACTCCTCTAAGAAAAGAATTGAGAACTGAAGACTTGTTAGCAATGATGCGCTAGTTGGCCTAATCGACTCATAAATTTACCACTATACGTATGATGGCCTTGACAACTGGAAGGCAGTAAAGTCAATCCCATTTGAATCCGCCAAACCCAAAGTGTGTGAAATATGATGACACTGATCAAGAAAACCTGGTGAATCCTCAGTAGGCTCTCCACAAAAATAAGGAGGAAGAAGCCTCTAAAATCTCTCTATCCTCTTCTGCTCCTCAGCAGATAAGGCTGGCCTAATCTCAGGTAGAACGGCGATGACTGGCTGTACCGACAGAACCCCCGGAGTCTGTTAACCATGAGTCAGCTACTCTGGTGTACGGGCGTCGGTAGTCTGGACTCCTCCCCCAGGTTGTGAAGTAGTTGGTACAGCCGGGATCATACTCGCTTGAGTCAAGTTCTCAAATAGGATATGAGCCAAAGTCTCATAGAGTCTAGTTGTAGCAATAGGTCCCTTAGGTGCCTGAGCTAGTCCCGCCTAATCAACATGATCGGGCATCTGCTCCTCCACTAGAGCTACTGGTGGCTCCACAACAACTACTCTAGCCAGACCCATATAGCAGCGCGTGCTCCACCTCAGCCTCTATCCCTGCACCAACCTCTCGCAACTCTGACAGGGGCCAGTGGTTCCTGCCCAGCTGCTCCAGAAGATAGTTTCCTTGCCATCTGTGAGAGAAAAGAAGAGTAAAGGTTCAAACTTCGGGATAGATAAATCTGCACGACAAAGAATGAAAGAAAGACAAGTTTTCCTAACAGTCTAATAACCTCTCGAAGATAAGTATAAATGTCTCAGTACCAATCCACATGGCTTTACTAAAATTGCTCATGACCCATAGAACCTATGACCCTAGGGTTCTAATACCAACTTATCACGACCCAAAATCCTATCAAAGGTCGTGACGGCAAATAACCTCCAAGACTAGCTAAGGAAATCATACAATAATATTTCAAACAACTAAATAATATATAATATGTCTAAAATAACATAAATAGTGGAATAACATTCCACAAGTAGCCAATACAGTGATACATAATACCAAATTCTCAAAAGCGGGTAGTACATAGTCATGAGCTCTAAAACCGAATGTAGGTAGATGTTTCAATAGTACAATATTATCTGAATGTATATACAAAATAGTATGAAGAAAAGGGAAACGACTCCAAGTGTATGCGGCGATCATGCAACACTACCTTAAATCCTCTCTAACAGCAAATACTGCTCACTCTTGAGATATGTTGCTGCCGATACCCGGATCTACACAAAAATATATAAAAAGGTAGTATGAGTAAGAAACAATGTGTACTCTGTAAGTATCTNTATATATATATATTACACACACGCGCGCCCGTGTGTGTAATAGCTTGCGCCCAGAACATAACAAGGTGTAATATCATCAATTATCAAATCAAGAGCTATCAACTCAGCATAGATAAATCAGTCTTAATAGTCAAGTCACCAACAAATAACATAGGCATAGAGTAGCATGTTAGAATTCAACATAAAACATGTAAAATACATAATAAGGCATAAAAGATTCACTTGCATAGTCAAAGCTTCCACTTTTATGCTCCCCAACTCACCATCATCGGATTCTACATCAGAATCACCCAACATCAATCAATTATCACAAATCGCGTGGACACCATCAAAAGAGAAACATGAGAGGGCGACCCTAGAGGGATGGATCCAAATTCACACGGTGCATGACAAAGGCCTCGTGCCACAACAATAATAATATCATCATAATTGCATGGCAAAGACCTTGTGCCACAAAAATAACAATATCCTGATAATCCGCACGGCAAATACGTCGTGCCATAAACCAATTCCCTATATATGACCAAATGTGCCATAATCGTAACAACCGAAATAACATTTCATCATAAAAGAGGCATATGATCAACATATATCAATAAAGTGTATGAGGACATAATAATAATAATAATAATAATAATAATAATAATAATAATAATAATAATAATAATAATAATATAATAATAATAATAATAATAATAATAATAATAATAATAATAATAATAAGAAGAAGAAGAAGAAGTACGAACGTGTCCATGATATGTGAAATGTGACTACGACTAAATCAAGTATCATTAATAATAGCCCATCTTGGCCAAATAAGAGATAATAATCTTACACATGATTTATTGCAGGAAAGGATAAGCCCACGTAGTCATAAAAATGATCAAAACATGAATCATAGAAAGCACACAATTGAAACAAGGCACAATAGAAGCCTAAAGACTAATCTAGCCTCAAATCATACATATCACCCGTATAAGCGCTTG